TTCCTTTGAGATTTCCTGATTTGTTTGGTTTGACAGTGGTCTTTCCAAGCTCCAGAGGATTAGTCCTTATTACAATAAACAGTTGAGTGCACTTATGGGAGGTAACCCACTCTGCTCCCAGTGTCAGCGGTTGTTCCTACCCAGTGAAGCCATATCTTGTGGTCAGATGGGCTAACACTGACTCGGGCAGTTCAATAAGCTATTTGGTCCCTGTCTCACCAAGTCCTCTCATTCACTGTGTAGTAAAAACAGGAAAATAACCAGTCACCAATTTCCAAAGTCAAATAATGAACTTTCACTTTCCACTTGGGATTTTCAGGTGAAAAACTCCACATGTTAAAGATCTCCCTCACCTACATGGCACATGGCATGCTTGGTGCTAGAGTCCCTCAAAGGTAACACCTTGTGGCACCCCCCAGAGCCTAATAGAAAGTCATTGGTTTCCCTGGGACTACCCAGGCACAGGTAGAGCTGTGAGTTCCTCATGAGCTTTTAGGCTTCCAGCAATGATTAGGCTTTCTGAGATGATATCCTCATCGGAGAGAGACTTACCATGGACCGCTGGTGGGTGGTGGGCAGTGTCTCTGACCTGCCGAACATGGTTCTCACCCTCATCTGAATTGACAAGAACAGAGGAGACAGGAGTGAGGATTGAGAGCAGCCATGTCAAATACCTGCTGTGGAAAGTGATGTTCTCTGGGTGTTATCCCTCTACATTTCTGTTTCCCCACTGTTTCTCCAAACTTGACGATTTCAAGATATCAGCCAGTTGGTTGTTTAGAGGAATTTATATAACATTAGGATGGGGCAAATACTTCCTTTGATGAGAAGAGTTTGGGCATCCTCTGTGTGGGAAGGACCCCAAAGGGCAGCAACAGCATGGAAAGACAGCTTACTAGATTAGAGTAGAAGCAGGTAGGAAATGACTCAGGAAGAATAAGGATTAGAGGGGGAAGAGATGTGAGAGCAGACACAGGAAAATTAGTCTAGGTATCTGGAGCTGGGAAAAGGGGCTTGGAAGGGGGCAGAAGAACATCATGCCGGACAGGAAAAGAGACGTAGAAGGTACAGAGAAGAGGATGATCTTATGAGATGATCCTATAAGGCAGGAATGGTGCTTTACATTGTACTAACATTGCCCATATATTGAGCAGTATTTAGTCCTCCCTCCATGGTATTAGAGAGTTTGGACTGGGGTGAAGATCTGTGTAGGATATTATTGAATATAACATTGTTTGCCTCTCTCTGTCACGGTGGAATACATACCAAGTGGGAAGGACCCTGTGAGGATGTTCATAACTTCATCCAGAGTGCCATTGAGGAGGTGCATGTTTCTTATGTCAATGGCCAGAAGAGGAGCTGCCAGAGCCAGCAGGCAGGTCAGAAGCAGGAGACGGGAAGGTTGGACAGCTGAAAAGTGAAGAAATGGAGAAAAACAGAGGACTTGAGCCTGACATTCAAAAGCCATGAATCTTATTTGAATCCTTTAATTGTAGAGTTATAAAACTCTCGCAAGAATATAGAAGTCCAAATTCACTCACTCCAATTAGTTGCCAAATATTAATCTAGAGGAGGAATCAGCAGTGACAATTGATGTTGGTCATTTCTGAGTCAGAGAAAAATTTAAAATTTTGTCCCAAAGCAAAGTTACTGTAACTAGGAAACTTTGGGAGAACCTAGGAGGTCTTGGTGCTGGAGATGACAACTGGTTGGATACGGAAGGAGGAATCCTGTTTTCTTCCAGCTCCCATCATGTTCTCATGTCATGCTTGTGTGTTCTCCACCCAGGTCTGGAGGGCAGTTAGAACCCAAATGAGCAGGAGGGAAGGCCCAGGCAGAAGTGTGTGTCTGTGTTTGGGCCCTGCATGTCGGTTGTGTGACTGAGAGGAGTCACCTTATATGAATTATTACCTAGTTGGAGCAAATGTGATTTCATGTGGTCTTCATGTGGTTATATGACTACTTCAGAATGTGCCTGTAACGAGCTGCTCTGGTTTGTTCTTGTTCAGGGCAGTTAGAGAGACTAGCCCACTTTTTGTAATATTGAAACTAAACACCAATTTCAATAGTAAATCTAAATTAAACCACAGAGGGTCTATCATGGTTCCTAGAGAGTGGAAACTGGTGCTGACAGATGCCCATGGGGAAACCTGTTCCACCATGTGATAGATGATCCAGATTATTAATGCGATCCTGTTCTGTTTGGAAGGATGCAGAGTCAAACCCCTGCCCGGGGATAGCTGGTTTTGTCACAGTTCCTAGAAATGATTGAGGAGGAAAATGATCAACCTGGGACTGTCAACTGTGAGGCTTTGTAGGTCATTGCAGTCCTCACAGGGTCAAGCACTCCTTTCTGGAATGCCTGGCATTATTGCAACCATTTGTGCTGGTTACAGTTTTACAGCAAAGTGCTTTTAACCACAATTCAGTCATGTTGATCCCTTTCTCAACTCCTGTGTCACGTTAGCCCCTTATCTATTATAAGATTCAATATATCTTCAATATTGCTGCTTAGGCAAGAATATTTTGGATATTTAATACTCTCTTGGAGAACTCAAAATTACAAAGAATTTTAGATAAATGTAAGATTTATAATATTAGCCACCTAGCACATCAGGCCTGCACCTATGTAACCCCTAAATGGTATAATATGCATTCTTCTGCTCCCATTCCTCACCCAGAGCACAGAGAAGCCACATCAAGCCAATTGTTGAGATGGACAGGAGCATGGGAGGAGAGGAACCCAGGAGAAGACAAAGCGTGGGGATGCTGTGTGACCTGTGGCCACACGCAGTGGGTGCAGAGCGGCTCCCTCACCCGGCCCACCAGTCCACACTCACCCATGCTGTCTCCACGGGGACCTGCAGATCGGGAGGCTGGGCAGGTTGGGCCTGGCTCAGGGACTGGCCGGACCTGCAGTTATATCACTTGCGAGGGAGGAGTGGAGTGGGGCACGAGACTCAAACCGCAGCACTTGTCCTGTAGCTGGCAACAGCACTGGTGGTTTATGGCTTGTTTGCTCTTCACCATTAAGTAGTATGTCCTCAGACAAAGAAGGCTGTGTCTCACAAAGGTGAAGAGCTTTCTTTAGAGTCAAAGCAAATAATTCAGTAGAAATAAGATGATGTCTTGAAAGAGCCCCAATTCACAGTGCTGGCTCCTCCGGTGGGGTTTCCCCAGGGAACAACATTCTCTGGGAACTTCTGAACATTTCAACTTGCTAAGTAAATATGCAGCTAGCATTCAACCTCCTGGGTGGAAATCAAGCATCAAAGGGAAAAGTACCCTCTCCAGGGCAGGTACTGAGGCAAACAGTCGCTGGGGACCCAGGCTCTCCAGTACCCTCCGGAAAGTACTCAAGGTGCTCAAATGTTCCTTGGCAGACTGTGCATTTTTATCGAAGAACCAAACTTCAGAAAGTGCCTCTCCAGGTGCCTCCCCACTGATGTGCCTGGCTTGCCGTAGCCACGTGGCCTCTTGCACAAGGCATGCTCTCGTCCCCCACCTCACACCCCAGTTCCTGTGCCTGTGACACGTGAGAGACTGTATCAGAAACTGTGGCATTATCCTGAGTAAAATGGTCTCAGTTCAAGCTTCTGTCTGCAGCCAGAAAGGCTTACACCATATATTTCTTAAAATGCCAGGCTGTTCTTCTTCTACATGTTGAGACTTCTAGTATGCCAAGAGATATGATCACAGTTGTCCCCTAGCATCCACTGCCTGCTGAGCAGGCCTTTGTATGGTTTTGGATGGTGACAGTGGAGGTTGGAATTGCTATTTCTATGACTTTCCCAAACTAAATGAGGTGGAGGACTATGGGATCTCTTCAGGTTCCCAATCTCTAGCCAAGAAAGGAGAAAATCTAAGTGTACAGATGGAGATGGCTAGAGGGAGCCCTTACTTCACAGAGTGCAAGATGACAATGTCCATCCAGATACACAAATTGTCCTGCTTGACATGGGCTCCTTCAGTATGGGGGTATCCATATCATTTGGTGGAAGTCTCAGCTAGAAGCAGACTTGATGTGAACAACAAGAATAAAGACAATGCTGGCTATTCAGTGAGGGAAATGTGTGCTATAAGCTATTGAAACCAATATTTGGTGATCAGAAGCTGAAGGCAGATGGGCCACATCTTTATCCTCTTAAACCTCTTAAACTTGGCTTGGAAAAGCTATTGAGCCATCTGCACTTTTTGGCACCCCAAGTAGCCCTCCCAAACAGGCTGCCCTGAGATCATTCTGCTCCTGTATAAGAAGCAACCACAGGCCAGCAATGCTGGGGCTGGAGGGCCTTACCAGGACAAAGACAGGGATCGGGAAGCACAATGGCACAGGGGCTTTCAGGCAACTACTGGCCACTTGGAGCCCTTGACTTCTGCTCAGAGCTTGCAGATTGGGGTGCCAGAGGTCACCTACTTGTGCTTTAAGTTCTGGGCTGTTGGACACTGGCACCAGCCCAAAGATTTAAATCCCTGATCCTGAATCCTGCCAGTGGAGAGTTACCAAACAGGTAGGTCTCTTGAGGACCTTCCTCATCTTCGCAAAAGTCACTTTTGGGGCTTGATTGGAAACTTAATCTCCCCTTTCTTGCCAGTTTCTGTGTGCATGTCCTTAAAAAGCTGGGGCCTTCCACTTCTGTTTGATTGTGGCACTTCAGAAATTGCTCCAAGTGAGTGATTCATGTGTAGTGTTTATATAGCCGTAAGAGTCAGCTGAAATCCCTCGTCAGAGGTGTAGGGGAGTTGTTTTAAGATTGTTGTGTGTTTCATTTCTCCATCTAGCAAGAAATGCCCCTTTCCCCAAAAAAGGGTTTAATTTTACTGTCATGGGACCTGAGAACTGCTCAAGAGTCACAGGCTGCAAGTGTCTCCTTGTACCTCTACAAATGCCAAGAGTGAACATAAGTGGGTGTGTGCAGTGCCTATAAAGTCACTGTGCAAGGCTTGCACGGGAGGGAGCACCACGGGATTCCCGCTCTCCGTTCAGCAGTGCTATTGGGATGGGTGAGTTATCTTCCCAACAGTATGCTGTGCTGGTGTGTGGTGCTGGGCTCAGATCAGAACTGCTGGGGTGAGTATACAAAGGCTCCAGATGATTGAGAGGATAGCGACCTGATCTTGCCTGGATGATGTACACTGCTAGGCGCCCTCATAGGAGAAGGGACACGAGAGCAAAGCTGAACAACATACATCATTGCTGCAAGCTTAAGCTTTCCCCAGGCTGTTATGCTCTCTGTTCCTCTGTTCTGTCGGGGAGGTTAATACGGAGTCCTACATTTCAGCTTTGTCCTTTCCCTTTCTGACACGTGTGCTTGCACAGGGGTCCTTCCCAGGCATGATGGCATCACTTCCAGTGCTTGACTTGGTGCAGGACATAGTGGTGTGCTTGGGAGCCAGAAGCATGTGGTCATGCGCGTGTTAGGGTGTGGGTCAAGTCAGATTCCTTTTCTTTGCTTGGGAGATGGTATCTGACACACAGGTTCCATCCTCTGGTTCTGGTTTCCCACTGTCTGTCCTTGGGCTGGAGGGACTTATATAAAAGTCTTAAGAATGACTAGTGTAAAATATTTCTTTTTGTTATTTCTTCCCTCAGGCAAACTCCTCTCCCCAGATCTAGCCCTGTCATTTTCTTCTCCAGCTCCTCTCAGGCTGTTATTTCCAATAAGAGATCTGTAGGGAAGGGGCAGGTCAGAAGGGCAACAAGGGTGTTTCTCACTCCACTTAGCCTTGCAGAGGCAGACGCAGGGAGCCCTCTTTTCCTTCACGTCCCCTGAGTCTCCAGCCCGCCGTGCTCCGAGCTCCCTTGGGCCTGCCAGCAGTGCCTGGAAGGGCAGGGACCACCTCAGCTCCAAAGGAATCCTCACCGTGTTGCGTGTTTTCCTCCCTAGGACTCCAGGCTGGGATGACCCTGCTTCATGGGAGCATTATCCTTTGGTCTGTCATGGGGATGCTTCCCTGTGTGAGTGCTGGCCCAGCAGCGCCCACCGCAAGCTCCCGGAATGGTAAGTATGGAGCAGGTCGGGGGACGTTGTCTGGGCACCAAGGTGCAGAACAGCAGAGACACTCCTTGGCTCAGCAGTGATCCCAAGGTTTGCCGACTGTCAGCTTGCAACCAGGCTGGTGCACAACACAGGGACTCCACAAACACAAGGACTTGGCCCTCCTGGGCCATGGCTTGTAAGGTAAACAGCCTGTCCCCTGCTGAGCCATCTTACCCCTGGCACCCTTGGTGGCTCTCAACTGAAATCACAGAGTTTTTGCCCAAATGCTGTAATTCAGTGACTTCGCCATGAGTGAGTTTTATACTTTGATTCTGTGAATCTGAGTGATCTGAGCAGAGATGCTCCCAGCACAGTTTTTGGAGCTCTTTTTGGGTTAGAAGTCTTCCCTTCCTCTTCTCAGGGAGGGTAATGCTTGCTGCAAGGGCTTTGTGCCCAAAGAAAGCTGGATTTCACAGCGTTGAATCTGAAGTACCCATTGTAAAATATTCCTTGGAAGATATGGAATAAAAACAAAAAAATCAGATGGCAAATTAGTTTGCCAAGTTAGTCATGACAGACCAGCCTTGCTAAAGATGAACTGTAACAAGCCATGGAAAGAGATCCCTATAGATCAAGGTACAGCTTAGTTTGCTTTTTCAATGCCATAATTTCCAGGGAAAAACGTAAGTTTTTCTTACATGTGCTCATCCAGTAGTGCATTTTGGACACTTACAATCCTCACAAGAGCAGTACCTCAGTATGTCAAGGGCCCTGTGTGTGTCAGCTACGCTTAGTGCTCATCATCAGGATTGAGAGGATGTTTTTTTTCTCCTTTCTTGGCTAGATACACCTGAAAGCTCCAAATAAAAATAGCAAGTCATAAGAAATAGAGCCCAGAACTCTTACCAGGGCCACTGTGTTAGAGGACATGTCTAACTGTGTTACCCTGTGGATTAGCCAGTGGAGGGGCCTAAGCAAGGTAGATGACATTTAAAAACAACCCTTCTTGCTGTGAGACCTCACACCCATCTGGGAGCTTTTTGTTACCCTGACTGGCTCATACAGCTCTTCTCCTTTCACCTCATCCAGCATCTGCCACTCATGCTGTCGCAGGCTTCCCTGCAGACTGCAGCCACCTCCGCAAGAACAGCCCCAGTGGGGTCTATGTCATCCAGCCAGCCAAGGCTCCCCCACGGGTGGTCTGGTGCGACATGGACACTGAAGGCAAGGGCTGGACTGTCGTCCAGAGAAACTCTCATGACACTGAGATCACATGGAAGGAGTCCTGGACCACCTACAAGTACGGCTTTGGGAACGTGAGGGCAGATTACTGGCTGGGCACCGAGTACCTGCACCTGCTCACGCAGCAGAACACCTACAAGGTCCGTTTCGTCGTGCAGAATAAGGCCAATGTCACCCACTATGCTGAGTACGACATCTTCAGTGTAGAGAGCGAGGCCAGCGGGTACCCTCTGAGGCTGGGCAGGTTCTCTGGCGAGGGCGAGGACTATCTGACCACCTTCCATACCAAGAATGGGGGCATACACGACAACATGAAGTTCACCACTCATGACAGGGACCAGGACCAGGCCAGAGGGAACTGTGCCAACAGCTATGGGGGTTGGTGGTATGACAATTGTCATAACATCCTGCTGAATGCCAAAAACTACATCCTATGGCCAGGATTCTGCAAAAGTGGTGACTGCATATCTTCCTTCATCCTGGTGAAACCTACAGATGTGTGCTGAGCAAGCTGGAGAGCCTCCTGGGAGCTTGGCCACCACCCCCGACACAGTGCCCCATTCCAGTGCCTGCCAGCAGCCTTGTACCAGCATTAGGGCAACTCTTGCCCTGCCTGCAGCTCCCACGTCGTCACCAGAGTGAAACACAGCAGCTCTGGGGCTCACGTGGCAATCACGCTGTCTGCAGCCTTTCCCAGTGCCATGATGGTGCCAGCACTGGAACCCAAGCACTGCTCTGGGGTGGGTGCCCCCACTCCTCTTCTGGGGGAAGGGAAGCCAGCGCCAATCTCTTTCCCTGCATAATCCACACGCTCCCTGCTTTCACTCAGGCCCTGCTCCCTTCCCGAGCCCTGTAAACCTGACAACTCTGCTTGACGCGGTGGGAGAAATCAGCTATAATAAATTCTGGAGCCAGACTCTTCTGCGTTGTGTCTATCTGCTGCACTGACATTGCACGTGCATGCAGGAAAGATTGTTCTGCTCAACCCCAGGCATAATGGACCTGAGGAGGGTGGGTGTATTATGCATATGTGTCCACAAAGATCCCCTCTGCCCAGCTCTCCTGCCCAGCCCCTGTCCAAGGAATCTCAGACCTGCTTTCAACATGACCGCCTGGCAGTGCTGGGTTGGTGCAAAGCTGTGGAGTTAATTCTTCCCTCACACTGAGCTGGTGAGCTAGGTGCAATGAAGGAATTTTGTGCTGGTGTTTCTTCTTTTACAAGCTTCACAATGCAAGACCTAATGCAGATTGTGTCCTGATAGTGACTGGCTGAAGTGGCTGCCTGTAACCGGAGCTTTCTCCCTCTAGTGCCGGTGTTGCACATAGCTACCTAATTCCGTCTGTCGCTCCTAGTTCCGTCTGTCGCTCCTAATTCGGTCAGGTCCCTGGCCGCATTACTGCTTCCAATGGCTTGTCCTAGCCACTGTGCACTGAGCTGTGTCTCTCGGGTTATGATTAGCTAGCATGGCCAGGAAAATGCCCTGGTAACTCACAAAGCCCTCACCTGCCATCTGCACCTGATTGCTCCGTGCCGTGCAAGGGAGATCCCCACCTACAGAGGTGTGCAGAGAAGGATGTGGGATCCCTAAACAGCGTAAGGAAAGACTCTTGGTGCACGTGAGTCAGTCCCATCGCATGTGGCTACAGATCTCCCTTGGGATGGAGGGAAGTTTGAGCTTAGGACTTAATAAAAGCCACTCTTCTCTGTTTTTATAAGAAAAGCTGAGTTCTAGGAAAGTTTGTGGGTGTGAATCCTTAGCAATTTTGGACTTGCAGGCCAGGATCCATGACCATGATCCCAGGGTTCTCTTCAGAGCAATAGCAGTGCCACTTTCCTGGGCTGAGTAGCAAGGCTAGTCTCTAAATGCCTGCACAGGGGTTCTAAGGTAGAATGAAGTCTTCCATGGGCTAATGTATGGGGGAAAAACAAATCTTCCCAGTCTGAGCTGACTGCAATAGCATTTCTGGAACCTGTAATGTGTCTGTTGGTTTAAAAACTGATTTCCAGTTCCACTGGATGTACAAACTAACCAGGGGATTAGCTTTGAAGAAAAAGGCATGGGGCTCCTAGTGAATGACAATTTGCCTGGACTCAGCAGTGTGCCCTTGCAGCACTGAAGGCAAACCGCATGCTAGGCAGTATTGAAAGAGTACAGCTGGCAGAGCGAGAGATGATTTCGTTCTTCTTGGCACTGGTGAGACCAAATTGGAGGTAAAATGGAGGAGAGATGTTAGCAAACTCTCTCCTCTCTCAGTTATATTCAGTGGAGCCTGACAAGGCTGGGACCAACATTGAAGAGTGTAACATGCAGGATGATGCTGATCTGGCCTGGCAGTCCTGGTTAACTGCATGTCATGGCTAACATGTATGAACAGATGCTGCTCTCCTACCCTCAGCTCTTGCTCTTGACTAGGTAGTCTAGCACCCCCTTTTTGAAAGATCTCCACCTTAAGACCCAACTCTCCTACTTAAGTGCCAATTTTATCTTGAATTTTCCATTTTAGTCTTTATTAAGAAATACCTTTATAAAAAATACACAAGAACCCCAGGGTTAACTCCTGGGTAGAAGCCAGCAGCAGTCTGGGGTTCTCCCACAAATTAGACAGATTTGCACATCCCTATGCAGGTTCTGGAAAGCAATTTTATTCTGTAGCACAACTACAAACTACAGCAGAGATATAGTGCATGCAAGGTCTGCCTGTGCTCAGAGCTGGTCAAGTTCTCAGCTAGTGATGATGGATATTTTTCTGCTGAAGTCATGGGATATTCTTCCATGCCCTTAAAGCAGAGAGGTGAATGGAGCTAACTGGATCAGGAGAGCTTTCAATTCCTGTCCACAGTTTTCTCACCAGAAGGAGCATGCTTAGAAACGTCAATGTTTCTAAAGTTCTGTACCACTAATGATCCATAAAAACCCAGCTTAGGTGAAAGGCTTGGTATCTACAAAGCAGGGAGCTTTGCTACTTCACTGACTGGAAGGCTGGGGGTGAATGGGGATATCCCTGCATATCAGGAGCTATTTTCTTCTTTCTTTCTGGAAAGAGGGGCCCCAGGAGAACCCTGGTCCGGCTTTGTGCTCAGTGCAGAACAGCAGGAGAAGGAGTGCTAATGGTAAGGAGCTGGTCTGATGAGGATGAGAGATGATTTGCAGTTCCCATTGCACAGGCTACCCCATGTCAGGCCACCCTTGAAATTCAGCCGTACAGAATAACATGCCGAGTACCACCATCCACCCTCATAGCTGTAGGCACAATTCCCTCTGTAAGTGTCTTCATCTCGATCYTTTGYAGAGAACTTCATGYTGTYRTGCACMTTKTTGGGRTTGTCTGAGGTCATGGCATCTCCTGCTGTCCCGGTGTAGGAGCCCAGCCTCAACCGGTAACCATGGGATTCATCTTCCAGACTGAAGAGGTTGTAGTCTGCGAACTTGGGGCTGCCTGTGGCATCCTCGACAACAAACTTGACCTGGTAGACCTTCTGCTTGGCAATCTGATAGATGTACTCAGTGCCTAGCCAGTAGTCACTCTGCACATTGCCAAAGCCATACTTGTAGGTGCTCCAGGACTCAGCCCAGGTGATCTCTGTATCATGCCGGTTCCTCTGGACGACTGTCCAGCCCCCGTCGGTCACATCCATTTCACAGTACACCACGAGCTGGTGGAATCCAGCAGGCTGGATGATGTAGATGCCACTGGAGCTGCCAGCGGGGATCTCACTGCAGTCCTTTGGCCAACCTAGGATAGAAGAGAGGACAATTTAACAACACTGTGCAACAGGACATTACCCCGCCTTGCCTTGTGGCAGGACAGATGGCTACTTTGCCCAAGTACCCTAGAGATGCTCAACTGTCCCATCTCAGAGAGGTCGGCATGACTGGCTGGCTGGTCTCTGCTCCCCAGAGGACACCTAGCAGCAGGCTTCCCCAGTGAAAGGCCTACTGGGCCATGCTAGTATCAGGTCAGGAGAATGGCATTAAAACTGGCAGGTTCCTCTGCACCTCCTGAAACAGGAGTTGTGTCACTAAACCAGGGTATGCTGGCGAGGCACATGGAGATTCTCTTGCCTCTGACTGTGTGTGAAGGAACAAGAGAACCATACCTCCACACACGCATTACCCACACACATGCACATGCTCTGCAGTCTGCATTGTCTGCAGCCCCCCACATACACCACCTTTCATCCCGGAGCAGGTCAAGGGCCTGAGAAACTGTAAGGTCCTTCTCTATCTGGAGCCTTCTGTAGCAGAGCACACAACACCTGTACCCTTACTGTGCTGGTTTCCAGCTTGTCCTGGAGGAGGCACTGCACCCTCCCACTGCAGCCAACGGAATCCAGCCAGCTGGGCCCTGCTCCTGTCCCCACATGAGCAGAGCTTAGGGCTGGTGCTGCCTCTCCTCAGCCCACTTGCCTGCCTACCACAGAGGTGGTTTGCAGATCTGAGGCCACATCACACACTCTCCCACAGGCAGCTCTTTACCAAGTCCCCGCTAGTCCAGTGCTGCGGCTGGAGCTGTACACCAGCCAGGCCCACCCAGACCATGGAAAAGGAAAGGGGTTAGTGATGAGGGTGCTGAAGCACCCACTGGATTCCACGTACTGTTTTTCTTCAGAGCGCTCACTGAAGTATGGGAAGGAGGTTTCTTGAAGATCTGTAAGGTTTGCATATTCATGGCAGAGCACATAGTGGCCAAGACCAGCACACAAGCAAGGAGCAGAAGGCCCTGGGCTGCTAGAATGAAGAAGAAAACTGCTGAAACAGCCGAAACATGATCCTCCTTCCAGAGAGCTGGGAAATCCAGTAATTCCTGCACAGTACAGCGGGAATGACCTTGAGGAATGCAGGAATGCACCAAGCATGCTGTGCAACAGCGAACGGGACCCTCTGAGTTGCAGAGCCTGCCAAAAGGCTTGGGATCATCTGCTCAAGAGCTGGAAGCCCCCACGTTTCCCCCTTGTTCAGCCCCTCCAAAAGCCATGTCGAAGATGGCACAGGAACAGCACCTGATTGCTGTCTGAGCCAGATTTTGACAGGGAAACATTCCTGCAGAACAAGAATTAGGGGATTGTCTGGGGTGGGCCAATAGACAGGGCACAAGGTCCTGATGTCCGAGGAGGTAGCAGGTGAGCACTGCCCTCAGCAGCCACGTTACCCATTAGCGTGCGGAGAAGACTGAGCACAGCCTCTGCACACTGCTGGACTGCCCATCCCATCCCATCCCATCCCATCCCATCCCATCCCATTCCATCCCATCCCATCCCTAGCAAGAAGGGCCCCGGTTCCCAGGCCAGCACTCACCCATGCTCTCTCTAAAGGACTGACCTCTGAAGCTCAAAGCTGCAGAGCAGCAGATCCCACAGGGGCATTTATAGCTCCCACTGCAGTGGGCGGGGTGAACAGGTCCCCCCCTCAGCTCAGCTTCCTTTCTCACTGGGAAGGAATCAGGCTGGAATTTGTGCCCTTAGAAAACAAGACCTGAAACAAAAGTGGCCGTTGCTATAGGTGCATTATCTTCCTGGAATGCAAAGAAAACAATGTCTGCGCCAGTAACAGTCCTTGGAGTGTTCTCTGCTGGGAGTGCCTGGCTCCTTGGGTGAATTTTGCCCTGGGAACAGCATCTTTGGGAGCTTTGAAGAGCGCGGCTCAGTAAGTAAACACTTGTAGGGCAGTCGCCATCCAGTGTGGAAATCAAACATTGAGATGCCCTGCGCCATTACAACAGAGGTATGCCAGGTCAAGGGGTTCTGTTTAATGTGTTTTTATGACCCTCTCCTGGTCGGACAATCAGAACAGCCTGTGACTGTCCTACAGATTGCTCTCCAGAGTCTGCTGTGTGTATTTTGAGGCACTGGTGATGGTACAAGCTAGTAGGCAGATGAGTCTGGAGGAGGTGATCTCCATTTGGGGAAGCAGATGGAGTTTTTAATCCACCTGTGGGCCATAGTTTGCCCTCCAGTACTCCATAGAGCTCTCCATGGCCTTCTGATGTGCTCCAAAACCTTCTTTTTCCTCTCTTTCCAGTGTGGATCCCTACTGTCCAGACTGGAATTTGTATTTGTGTTTCGGTGGTCTACAGAACCTCTCTTTACCTTCTTGGACATCCAGTTAGCTCTTGGTACACCCCATAGCTTTCCATTTGTCTTTCAGACTGCTCAGAGCCCTCTCCAACTGCCACTTGGACCTTTCAGGATCCCTCTGTTTGTCCTCCAATTTGTCCAAGAACCCTCCATTTGATCTCTAGTCCCCTCAGAGTCACTCTGCATGCTGTCCTGTGCACACCAGAACCCCTTCTTTGCACTGGTGCCTTTCATTGCATGCTAGAGGTCTCCAACAGCATACTCCTCCCCTCTGGATCTCTTGAAAGAGCGATCTCCTCTTGTGCACCCACCACTTCACTTAATATGTATTATCAGATTGCTCCCACCATTGCTCCCACCATGCCTGTCTGTCTCCTCAATGCAGGAAATCCCTCCAGCCAGAACTCAGACTTCCTTCTCTATTTGTGGCAGCTCTACAAAAGCAGAACAGAATTACATGATACACACGTAATTACCACATTGTATTTAATTACAGGAGAGGCTATGGAATTGCCTGCTAAGAGATGCACATAATAGCAGTCTTTTGTTAGGCTTCCATGGAACAGAAAACAAGCATAGTTCCTACTCAGTGTATTGGCTGATTAAACTGATGGTGAGAAGACATGGGCTACCGAGTTGGGCCTGTCAAAGAAAAACATTGTCAACAGGGAATGCTCCAAATGAGTGTGAGAAGGGCACTAGCAAACCTGCCAAGCGCCAAGGAGGTGTGAGACGCGGCTGCTGTCTCATTTCTAGGACTCCTCTGGTCCCCTGGGAATCATATGCTTGCACTCAATGCCTTGAGGTCAAAGAAATCCCCAAGCATCCTGGGTTGAAGAGAAGCCAAATAAAGCAAAGGCAGAAGGAGCATAATAGCAGTCTGGCATGGAAAAGAATGCTATACAAACACTGCAAGCTTTTTCAAGTACGCCAAACTGGAGTCCTTCTCTCATCCAGAGGAGCCGAGACATGAAGGTATCCAAGTGTAGCAGCATTTTGGCTGCCGAGCAGCAAGGTAGAGGGGTCTGTTGTCTTGCCTGCTTCACTACTAGGAGAGAGAAGTTGTCGATAAAAAACAAAGGGAAAAATCAGCGATGCTTTGGAGGGATCCATCCTGTTCGGTTGTACTGCCTCTCACCACATCTATATACCTGTTGGTGTATTCTTCCCAAGTGGATTGACCCTTCTTCCCAGCTATGTATGCTTTCTTCTTACGTTTAAGTTTTCCCAAGGGCTCCCGGCCCATCCATGCAGGTCACCTCCCCTCCCTGCCTGCCTTCTTTCTCCTAGACATGCATTGATCCTGAGCTTGGAGGGAGTGGTGACTGAATATTAGGCAATTCTCCCATCTTGCACCCATCTTTTTGCTAGCTTCCTCCTCATAGGATGTTAAACTCCAACATTTCATGGTCACTTCAACTTTCACGTTTCCAACCACATCATCTTTGTGTGTTGGGACCACCAAGTCCCTCTCCACATTGGGACAATTTTACACTTAAAACTGCACTTTTAAGCCCGCGTCGCAGAGGCCGCCCCCGCCGCCAGGGACCTCCCCGCTCCTCCCGCTCTCCCCTCACGCGCGGGCGGCCGCGCGCGCACCCGTCACGTGACGGCGGCAGCGGCAACCAATCGCAGCGCGCCTCGCCCTCCCCCGCCGCGTTGCTGGGCGACGCCCGCCGCCCGCCCGCCGCCATGTTGAAGGCGAAGGTGCTGCTGGTGGGGCCGTGTGAGGTGAGCGCGCTCGGCCTGGCGGCTCCTTCCCGCCGGCTGCCCTCGGCCCCGGCCCCGGCCGCTCCTTCCCGCCGGCTGCCCTCGGCCCCGGCCCCGGCCGCTCCTTCCCGCCGGCTCCCCTCGGCCCCGGCCGTTGCCCTCGGTCCTGCTCATCTCCGAGGATGTCCTTATCTCAGCCATCCTCCCCGCATCATCCTCCCGCTGCGGCCCGCCTCAGGCAGAGCCCCCAAGCGAACGTCGTGCCCCCAAAATGAGTATTTACCCTGCCAAGGTGCAGGTCTGTGGGAAGGGGGGAGGCCAGACCTGTGCGCATAGGTCTGTGGCTGGAGGGAGCAGGGTGCTCGGGAGAACCCCGCCACTGTCGTGTCCGCCACTGCTTGAATGTGTGAAATTCCTAATGGGTGTGTTTTGCTCCCGTTTCTGACAGTCTGGAAAAACGGTCTTGGCAAACTTTGTTTCAGAGAGCATTGAAGGGATTGGCAGCTATGTCCCGACGCAAGGTGTAAGGTGAGCAAAACCACGCCGTGCTGAACAAGGGAAACCCCCCACAAATGGCTGCCCCTCGGGCAGCGTCACGCTCTGGTGTGGTGCAGACAGCTTCATTATATCCACTTGTTTTCACAGGATCCTGGAATACGAGAAGCCAAACTTAAATGGTAGCAGCAAGGGAGCAGCGTGTCGATTTGAGCTGTGGGACTGCAGCGGTGATCAGAAGTAAGTCAGCTTCATCATTCCCTGACTTCCTTTGGGCTACTTAACTCTTAATAGTTGTTTTTCCGCAGAATGTTCGTCCTCAAGTCCTACAGCCAATAACTTTCCTGAGATGAAAATTATACTCTCCTTTTTACTCATTGTATTTTTTGTACCTTTGTACTGTAAAACATCTGGTACAAGGTCCTTTCTGCCATGATCTCAGTTGATACCAAACTTTGTTTTTGATAGGAATTGAATTGTTTTTGATAAGAATTGAATAGGACAGTACTAAGTCCATCGCTCCTAAGATGAATATACAGGAGACAGGCAGCCCTGTTACCGTAACTGACTGAAAACAGTCAGTCAACTGACTGAAAGAGATTGAGGAATATTTGCTTTCTCTTTATGTTTGTTTTATACAATTGCAAATCTAATAGAACACTAGTAAGCCTACTGTTTTTTAGTAAGGAAAAAGAACTGAAATGCCTTTTTTAGGTGAGAGAATGAAAACTTCTGGAAGGTTGAGTGCACAGACCCAATTTCAAGCTATCAGTCTTACCATTTTCCTTGCACCTGTTTTTCAAGGTTTGAAACATGCTGGCCAGCTCTGATGAAGGACTCCCATGGCGTAGTAATTGTCTTCAATCCGGAGCTGCCCAGTCACCTAAAAGAAATTGAAATGTGGTACTCCTGCTTTGTACAACAGCAGCCACTGCAAGACAGCCAGTGTCTTCTAGTCGCACATCACAAACCAGGCCATGCAGGGGACACCGAAAATCTGACCTTGGGTAAGGAGGAAAAAATCATAAATTATAGCTCACAGGAGGTGGTTATTATTATTATTATTATTATTGATCTCTTTGGCTTTAAATTTGGTGATATAACTTCATTTAAATTTGTCAATGTAAGAATTGTAGAGTGCTCTGCAAAAACAGAAAGATTAAATCTTAAAAGTCATCTAGAAGGTAAGCAATATCCCTCATGACAAAAGGGAACGACAGAAAAGTTTGAATCTCTTTTCTAAGGCCACAGAGAGACTATGTAGCAGGGTCAGAAATGAGAAGTCCTTCTGGAACATTGTATTTCTTAACATGTAACACATCACCTGGGGTATGGATACTACTGAATGCCAGCTTACTTCAGCATCATCTGTCACATAACTTGAACATAAATCCTTATTTTCTGCCCAGAACAAACTTAATTATTTTTTTTATTTAACTTCAAAGCTTCTCCACTGAACACATTGAAACTAATACATTCCAACTTAGAAGAAGATCCTGAAGATGTTCGGATGGAATTTGTGAAATACTTTCGAAGCATTATCAACTTACTAAATGAGAGCAGAGACCGGGAAGAAATGTCAATTATCTCATAATGTTAAAAAAAAAAACTGAGCAAGGAAGAGAAAGTATTTTTTGCTTTGTAAGCTGTACTAGCCTGTGAACAGATCTTCACAAAAAGTTGCCACTCTATATATGCTTCAAAATAATAACATACAATTTGTGACTTAACCAAAAAAACCAAATGCTGACACCAGATGGACTGTGACGCCAAAGACTTGGCTACATGGCCACAAACTTTAGTATGTAGTTGCACTGTGGCTTCATTTGGCATTGGAGATGCTGGAAGATAGACATATCAGTCATTTCTTCACTTCAGAATTCCTTTCTAGAAGTACTAAGAGAAGAAAGTGTGACAGAACCTAAGATTTATGGAGTTCTCTTGAAGCATTTAAGTGTTCATTTTAGCTGTGTTCTTGGAGAGGTTACACCTCAGGAAGTTAGTAGAAACTGATTGCAAAAGAGATCTGAAAAACAGCTGCACATTTTAACGCTCCAAATTCTCCTTATCTTTCTGCCCAAGCATCTAAAGATAACGCACTTCATAGCTGTTATCTTGACAAGACAGAGTAAGTTGCAGTCTACCTCAGGACTAGGATTTTCTTCATTTCCAACAAAATAAATTTGTTGGTGACAAGATTTAGCATTCTTTTGGTGGAAAAAAAAAATCTAAATCTCAGTATAATGCAGCCACTTTGACCTATGCAGGAGCACAAATAAAAGTGCTGCATCCTCCAGAGGAGGAGAAGCTGTTTCCAAACTTGTATTATTGTTCACTGTAGCATTAAAACAAGTGATTTCACAGATAATTTACTTTCTGATATGTTTGCTTTTCACTCATCCCCGTTCTTCTCTGTGTTTTGCTGTGGAAAACATTTTTCTGTAGTCTTTAATAATAAGATAATAAAAACACATTTTTAAAACATATCCATTTTGTTCTCAAACAGAAAGTTAATTATCGTTTTGCAGATCTTTGACTTGCTTGGTTTTGCAGTGAAAAAAGTGATGTTTGCAATGCATTCACATTAATTAGCTTAAACAAGAAAAGTTTGCAAAGGTTTGGCACAGACCCAAATACCCAAAGAAATGATGAATGAAAAACAAAATCATGTTATCTATTCTGACATCCATTTATTTATTGCAGGAACTTCAAATAACCCCATAGCACCTGCATTATTAGGTCTTTCCTTCTCAGCTAAATGGGAGTTTCCATGGCCTATTAAGATATGAGTTCTATGACACAAACCTGGGCAGTCTGATCCTTTAATGTCCTACAATTTACTACAACATGAACCTACAAAAACCAAACAGATACATAAGCAGTTTCCATTACTAAATAATTTGCTTATCCTGCACAGAAGAACCTAGTACAATCATTCATTCTGCGGTAAGTTCTGGTGAAGTCCAGTTTCCTACAGATTTGTGACTTTAGATTTTATGCCTGTGTAGATTTCCTGCACTTTTATAGGGGTCTGTCTCCCATATTCTCCATAATGATATAGCTATCTATAGCCATTTTTCTTTCAGGAATTTTTATCTTTGAGACTCCTTGTATTCTATCAGATATGGTTGAAAATGATCGATGATTTAAGACAGGTGAGACAAACAAACAAGCAGACACATAGGCAGACAGCATATCCTTATAGCAAGTTTTGTGAAAATAGCCAGATAAGGAGGCCGATGTTTTATCCTTCTCTTAAGAAATAAACTAAATATGAACTTAAGCTCCATTAAGTTCGTGCCCTTCCTCGTGGTGCCCAACAGTGACTTGTGATTTGGAAGATGGGCTGAGGGTCTCTTAAACAATGGCACTTCCATCTGTTGCATGGCATCACTCAGTAGGCAGTGATCCCATTTCCTCCTCTTTCCTAGAGAAGATTTAAACTCTTTTTTTAGAATCTGACCCGACTCACTGGGCTTCCAGATTGTCTCATATCTCCTTGGAATGGTAGCAAACTTGCCATTCTCCCCTCAGCAGTTACTTCTCTAGTGACGGCAAGCTTTTATTCATACCATGACACCCCACTAAAGCTTAAAAGCAAGATGCGCAGGACCAGGCATCGATGCCTCTGAGCTCTTGTCTTTACTCCACTTAGACACTTGATGGTGCTCTTGGCACTTTCACGTGAGCAAAAGCCATTTTAAAGTCAGCAAACTCTCCTCTCCTGGGAATTGCAAAAAAAAATCCCCAATGTAAGATGCAGTTACATGTCTAAACCTCTAAATCCTGTGAGAAGAGCATGTTTTGACTACAGAGCATGTAGCTGCAGTGAAAGAGGCTCATCTAGGTAAGGACAAATGCCAAATAAAATGTCACTGCCTATTACACACAAATCCACCAAGCAGAGGTTTTCAAATTCCTCCTCAAATATTTTATTTGCTAATTGGTTGCTTATCAGTCTTCCCCATAGCAACATGAGAGGTGTAAGTGGCATAAAGTAGGCTGAACGACATTATGTCTGCACGTAAATGTAACTTGGATTGTGCTGGAAAAGATCTGAAGGAGGTTAACAATGCAGTGTGAAACCTCCTGTGGCCTCAGAGGCGAAGGAGAGCTTCTTAATGCTGCATGAATGGGGAAAGAGCATAGAAAAGCATATCCCAGCAACAAATATTCTGGAGAGACTCAAGCTGAGATTCTATAGTAAATGATTCCATTTGATCTTTTTACCAGCTAAGAAATATTCATTTTACAACAGGTATTTGTCTTCAGCTGTTTTCTTCTGGGTAGGTTGGAAGCTTTTTAATATTTTCAAAGGTTCGGTGAATAAAACACAGAACAGGGAAGAAGGAGTTATTTGCCCTATTCTTTTTCCTGCACTAGGCTGGTTTTTATGTATCCTTGGGCAACTCATGGTGTTTTTCTGTCTAAACTTCCCAGTCTATAAATCTGAGATAACTCCTTTTCTGGATGTTTTAAGGCTGTTTCTTTGTAGGCACAAAGATGCCTAATGGACACAGCTCTGGAAGGAGGATGTCAGTAAAATATAAAGAGGCATGTGGAGAAACCATTGTAACTTCCAGGAGAAATTAGGGAAAACATGGAATAAAGGAATTCATATGGCACAGATGAGAAACAGTTAGATTGGCTGGGTCCATCCACTGTCCTAAGACATGTTATTTAAATCTGGGCTGAGAGGAATTTTTGCTTATTCATCTGTGCACAGATAGCACAGCCAGAGCTCCAGAAAAGGCGCTGGAATCGCTGTAGTCTCACACTTGGAGCTAGGCCCATGACTAGGCTTTTCAAGCATCTGGCATTCCTACCTGCATTAAACTGTTCAGGAGGGGAAGGATCCTGGATCTTTCAGCTGAAGAATTTACAGGGATTTAGAGGTTCTCTGAAATTCTATTCCATCTCTTCAGTCGTCCAGTCTGATGTTTCCACGAAGACCACTCAGGCTTCTTGGATATCATGTTCTCCCAAATATATCCAAAGGCAGTTCTGAAAAGGACACATTGAGAGTTAACAGTGGTTGGATTAATAAAAGCACTTTAAAGTGCACCCTCGTGAAGTCTTAGCATGGACATCTTTTGGCAATACCACTTAATATGACACATGGGACAAGGAATTTCACGGTAATTGCAACACTCCCTCCTTCTCTTGACAAGTGAGCCTGCAAGCATTAGAATTTACAGGATATCTGATTTGCTTACACCTCAGAGGGAGAAAAGGAGATAAATGGCCCGACCCTGACACAATGGATCTTAGTGATGTTAATGAATTGGCTTTCTCAAGATTAGGAAGCTGAATGAATGAGATACCACTGCTGCTATGGCCTGTTGTTTCAAAAAACACTACTGTCGGCCATACTTACTGTAACTCTCATTTTACTGTTTCCAATTCAAAATACCCATCAAAAAACTTCAACTCTCTTTTGTTATTCTATCTTTTTAAATAAAAACAAAACCCCATGAGCAGAGACAGATTTTTCTTGGGTCCTATTGCCCTTCTTACTGCTAGGTCATGCTGCAATACAAAGCCCATCATTTCAGCTTAAATCACCAATGAAGGTACATTTTGACTAGGACTAAACATAATTCTGTATTCTCTACTCTCTCTGCTTCATATTGGTTATTCCTAACAGAAGAGCAGAGCTGTCTATAGAGCACTGCAGCTTAAACTATTATACCACAACCGGAAGATTTGCCAAAGGTTTTGCTGAACTCCTTTGTATTTTTCCCTCTGAGGAGCCAGATCACTTCAATGAATTAACTTCAATGGAAGCACTTAGATTTTTGCCTGCCAAAATTTTTTCTTTGCTTTCATTTTCTTCCTGTATACTCAAAAATCTGTACCATGTGGAATCCTTTAAACAATAGAGTGGATAGCACAATTTTTCAATTGCTCTTGAAAAGGTTTTAGCCACATAAACTATTCTAGGGTTCGCTAGGAAGTTACAATTGCAAATAATGCAATTGTTCCAGATTGAATTCCTTGCATAGTAAAACAACTTTTGAAGAAAAGAGCATGACTGGTTAGGGATTTTTAAACTACCTCTTTATGGCCATACTTAGATGGACACATATTTTCTCCAAAAGCTTTGCATTAAAGAGAGAGGACCAAAGTTTATAAACACTCGTATCTGCATAACTTATACTTAATGTCATCAGTCTAACAAAAGGAAGAGAGAGAAAATTAGTTAGATACTGCAAAGCATTTGAACTATGGCAAACCTAGAAATAAAGTGCAAGCAGTAACTTCTGATTTCCCTCTTTCCTTCTCTTTTTCCTGTTTTTCCTGTTACTTGCCTTCTGAGTGAACCCAAAACTTGCTTCTGTGAGCAGCAGGGTAGCTCCTTAGAGACGTGTGCAATTTCTGTTCCCTCAGGCTTCACCTGCAGTTAAGAACTGACATTTCTTCTGACCCTATGTTTACTTTCCACATTCAGGCCGCAACAGGTCTTTCCTGTTGCATATATCTAAAGACAATGTCTGTTCATGGCTTGTCCAATGGAGGAGACTGTTCCTCAAATCTTGTGTTACCAGTCCCAGGGACACACAAGCTGTGGCTCCCGAAATTAGTTCTTCTGTGTGATCAGGTCCTCAGTTCTGCAATTTTCTAGCTGCATGAGAGCAGTGGACTCTAATCTTGGCAACCCACAAGCAGCTTCCCAATTCTATTGTGTTATTCAGCTTTCTTGGATAAATTGAATTAAACTGTGAGTGTTATGAGATGGCCTGAACTGTGGGGTAAGGCCTGTAATTCATTGCATACTCTTACTCGTGCTCATTGTGCAATGGAATCAAGCTTGTTTGTGGCCATTAGGCAGCAAAGCTATATAGCTGGGAAATGCCCATTTCAGGAGGCGTTTTTAATCTCCATCAGCAGCACAGGCCAGTTTCTTATTTGCCACACATTGGCCTATTTCCACATAGCTCACACCAACCATAGGCTTGGGCCTTGCAAGCCTATCACTCTACATTACCCTTTTAAAGGCCACACTTTTTATGGAATCATGTTGGTCGTCATACAGAACAAGGTATCTTGTACCATTCAAAAGCTAAGGAATTAGTTCTGCCTTTTACTAGCCTTACTTCCTATGAATAATAATTAAAAAAAAAAAGCTGTGTGATCATTCACGTCACGGCAGTGATCCCAGCCCTGGTTCTCTGATCAGCCACGTGAGGGGACGTGCTGGAGCGTGCAGTACGT